TCCCTTCTGTACCATCCACTGTACATCAACACCACCATCATCCCTTCTGTACCATCCACTGTACATCAACACCACCATCATCCCTTCTGTACCATCCACTGTACATCAACACCACCATCATCCCTTCCGTACCATCCACTGTACATCAACACCACCATCATCCCCACTATATCATCAACACCGTACACCACCATCCATCGTCCACCGTAAATCATTCCTTCATTCTCAAGTAAAATGTATATACAGAAAATTAAAAAAACAACAAAAAACTTTAAAAAAAACACCCTATCTCCTTCAAAGTGTGAACCACAACCAAACACCCGACACCCAGATCCGTCTGTGGCTGCTGACTTGTTTTTCCCAGACAAACAGGACATGTACAGCACACGATCAAAGTTTGGTGCGCATTAACAAATATCAGGAACAGATTTCAGGAGACTGGACAGTCCTAGGGATGAAGTCATCAAACTAAAACCCGACAAAAAGTATCAAACGTTGAAAGAGAGGAAGGACCAAAAAGAAAATCCAAAGTAAAAGACAAAAAAATACAAAAAACCCAAAAACCCCCAAATAAAATAAAACCAATAAAACCATTCCTCCGCTGGAACAAATGCTGGAAATATTATGACAAAATCCACCACACAACTTGAGGCTACGTAGAACCAATGTTACCCAAGGACATTATATAAAAAATCCATCAGTCAGAATCCCACGCACGTCTACGAAACATTGCAAGTGATGTCCGTTACCTTTCTAGAATTCTAGAAGTTATGGTGTGTACAGGGTTTGCGGAAAAAAAAAGAAAAGAAAAGAAAAAAAAGAGAGAAGTTTTTAATGTGTGGAGAGACAGTTAACCCACATCACCAGCCAACTGCCCATGATCTCAAGATGTGATCTTTCAAGGACAAAGCAGATTTAAAAAATCAGGGATTCCACTTTCATTTACGTTCCTGCTGTTTCCCGATTAACCGTGTTTAGATGAAATCAAAGAATGTACCGTCGCCACCAACAACAAAACCACCCCCAGTAAGTCTTCATCATCATCACCACAATTGTTAAATCCACCAAACTTGAGACTACATTGACCCAATGTTATCCAAGGACATTACGTAAAAACCCATCAGCCAGAATCCCACACACATCTAAGAAACATTGCAAGTGATGTCCATTACCTTTCTAGTTATGGTTTGTAAAGGGGTTTACAAAAAAAGAAACAAAGGAATAAAAAAAGATAGAAGTTTTCAATGTGAGGAGAGACACCTAGCCCACATCACCAGCAAACTGACCATGATCTCAAGACGTGATCCCGATTCCTGAATGCCAAAAACGCAATCATACGTGGTGATACCCAACATGCATTTCTTCCATGCAACCAGTCAAACCGATTCAGAATCTCGGTGCGTTTGGATGTATATCAACTCGGTTAAGATGTTGGGTGATAATATGATACTATCATTTGGAGAGAGAGAAAAAAAACGAGCAAATTCCTCTCCATCTCACCGTCTTCTCCAGTTTACTCTGTGAAATTATGAAATGTAGGTCAACGTTACAATATAAGACAGAAGGAACTCAAGTGCTGTTACCTTACGTATGGGGGACAATATAAGACAGAAGGAACTCAAGTGCTGTTACCTTAAGTATGGGCGACCTGAAAAGGAGTTTTGCACAGCAAAACTAGCAACAGCCAAAAAACCCCCAAAAAACAGACATTGAACATGTTCTATGTCAAGTCTTGTGGGCACGTAGTGAAATCGCTGGGATGTGGAAATCTTTTTATTATGCACAAACTTCCTTAAATGAGCGTGGTTTCAATACAAAGAATACACACGTATTAAGTAAAACTTTCAGGCTTAAAAAATCTGTTTGCTATGAGTGTGAGCCTGCTACACTGTAAATAATCTGATCTTGCAAATGCACGAGTCAGAATTGTAGAAGATTCAGTGTTATCAAGGTCGTAGTTGTGGCCTTGTGGCGTACAAGCTCTGGAGATACGAGACCCGAGACCTGACACCTATTTCACGACACCTTCAATAAGAACACTCTCCCCCCCCCTCCCTCGGTGCCACCAACCTTCTCATTGGGCATCCTCTCACGCACTCGATTGAGGCAGTCCTCCACATCTCCCCGGTCCAGATTGGTGTATCTGCAAGTACACACACACACACAAAGTTATCTCTCACACACACACACATAAAGTTATCTCACACACACACACATACATAAAGTTCTCACACACACACACACACAAATATAAAGTTATCTCACACACACACACACACACACACACACATAAACATAAAGTTATCTCACACACACACACACACATAAACATAAAGTTATCTCACACACACACACACACACACACACATAAAGTTCTCTCTCTCACACACACACACACACACATAAAGATTCTCCTGTAGTTGTAGTTACAGTTTAACTGTACAGTGGAAACCTGATATAACAGGGGCCGTGGGACCAGAGAAAAAGTCCCGTTATATCAGATCCCAGTAAATCAGAAATGCAAGGGAAGTAAGCATCTGTGGACTAATCTAGCTGTATTTATTCATGGGTAGTTTCCCATGGCCTGTGCATGACACATTACGCGAGCGTGTAGCTAGGCTTAGGGCTAGATCGAAGTCTGCAGCACACCGCAGCCCTCTCTCGCTTCACTCGCTGCGTGTGCTTGCAGTGGGGTGGCTTGTGTGGGCTTGCTCCATCACTGCGTTACTCTCTCTCTCTCTCTCTCTCTCTTACTTTTTACTCACTGTTAACGAGCCTTTGTCCCTGCTATAACCGATTGGGCTCCGATGAGGCCCAGTTATTGCCGATAACTTTTAATAGAGACAAAGAGTAGGAAAAAATCCCAATTATTATCGGATCCCTGTTATTACTGGGCCTGTTATATATGGATGGCTTCCACTGTACTTGCAACACAATTAAGTCTTGTACAAGCCCTGAAGATTAGAGGTAGTACAGGAGAGTACCTTACACAGAGAAGGAGGAGAGATAAAGACCATTGATATTTCACGGGTCAGAAAGAAGAAACCACACTACAGCACCCACCAACCTCCCATATATTTTCAAGGAAGAGATTGGAATAATAAGGACAAATAAAATAAGTAGAAGGAGCAGATCACAGCAGAGCCCCTACCTCACACCCACTCCACCACATTCAACAATAATCTGTCAGACAGAAGCTAAGAGCTAAGGACG